ATCTCTCCCCTAATATCAAGCACCCTCCAAACAACATTTCTACAATGATCTACATATGTTTGGGACCATTCAGGTGGTGTTTAATATTAGACGCATGGAATTAATTGCGCAATGCAACCAATGGTGCTTGCTGTCCCATTCATCAACCTGTGGCAACCCTAACATGGGGTTGGATCAAACCCTACACCAATCTGGTGGGATAAAGATCCATAAGTTAAATCATTTTATGCATATATATATATATTATAATAGTGCATTATATGGATAGATCACATCACATCCATGGCAACAACAAAGAAAAGATGCCGAAAAGTGGCAAATCTGGAGGTCGCCTTTTTGGTGCTGTAAATCCTAACCGATTTTGGGCTTCACTGGTCTTGAGAAGCCCTACAAGGCCGGCTTGACGGCGCCTCAGGGCACAGGTTGCAGCATCAAGAGAGGGTTGCCATAGTCATGGGGGTACCCCAATAGCTGGGATGGTTTATTTCATGGAAAATCTGATTGAAATGGATGATTTTAATGATGATTTGGAGGTACCCCCCATGATTTCGGAGACCTCCAGTGAGATGAACCTAGGGCTGAAATCTAAGCTGATTCGAAATCATCCACCATGAAAGTCGATGATCGAACCGAAACCCCTTCAGAGCTGTTAAAAACGTGTTTTTTTGTTAGCGGTTTTGGTGGGTAAAACTCTCAACACCACCAGTGCCACCCGTATGATTGTCTCAGTGGTTAGTGCCCGTGTGTTGTCAAAAAGGAGCAATCCACACATCTTATGCCCCAGTTGCATATGCTTTTCTCAATTCCAAGTCCCGTCATAAAACATGGGGTGACACGCCCTAGTTTTGCATTGGGTCAATTCCTATGGGACCGACTTTCCGGGATGAATGTCCCCCAAAACCGCACATGTTGGTGTCAAAACCAAAGCATTCAAGGGTTTTGATCCGTACCCAAATGCTGGGAACATAAGGGGTTCATGGTTTAAATCCATCTCACTTGGTCTTAAATCATGCATTGTGTTGAATCAACTATCAGTCCCTATCAGTCCAAGATTTGCCCCGACTATAGTGAATCATAAGAAATGCACATACTTTACCCCATCATCTCAATGCAAGGTGAATCATAAGCACCTCACATGTGCCATGATCAAAACATGATATATGCGGTATGGTCGTCCCATCATCGTTAGGGATTCCTTGTGATGCATATGTATTACATATTATAATATTGGTTGCTTCTATATCCCATGATATCCCCATATTGAGCTTCTTTATTTCACCAAGTGTTGTTGGTTGAATTTTCCCATATCTTTGTTTTGACCATTCAAGTAGTGCCCCATAGCTAAGTTGATTTACTCATTTTCGGTGGGCGTTACATTGGATTTATGATTATAACTAGGGCTAGATGATATTACCCTCTGGTAAACTAACATAACTATGGAAAATCACCATTTTTAATGGGAAAATCCACTATAAATAGCCATTTTCAATAGCAAACTGTTAGTTTACCAGAGGGTAGATTGGCTTACAAACCAAGAAACACATCTCCAGTTTGTCCTAAAACGGGCCCCAGAAATCCATTATGATGTATTCAGACGGAGATTGATAATTATCCTCATGAATGAATTTTGTTGATTTAGATGATACGATAACAATCCATCTCTAAATCAATTTCTACGATAATTCATCGAATATCGCAAAATCCCAAACTTGTGGCCTTTATCAACCATCACATCACCATAATAATCATTATAGTAATCATAATAATAATCATTATAACATCATTATCATTATGATTAGGGACAAATGATCATTATGATGAGTGATAATTTGATAATGATTACCTAGTGACCTGGCCATTACCCTCTGGTAAACTAACATAACTATGGAAAATCACCATTTTTCATGGGTAAATCCACTATAAATGGCCATTTCCAATAGCTATCATCATTGATTCTGTAGCTTGGAACACTCAGTGGCCATAGGGGCACCATTCTGTAAAGCCCCTCGGCCTGAGCGAACACTGCTGCTTGGAACACTCAGCGAGTTCCGGCTGGAACGCTCCGCCTCCTGGGCGGAACATCTCCAGATGTACCCGGCCTGGTAAACATACAAAAAGCTATTGAAAATGGTGATTTATAGTGGATTTACCCATTAAAAAGGTGATTTTCAATAGCTATGTTAAATTACCAGAGGGTAAACAGTTCCGCCTTTTTTTCTTTTTTTAGATGTAGTAAACTAATAAAAATCGAAATAAACTATGTACTTAGACATAGACATTATATATCTATTGCAGATATAGTAGTATAAACTATGTAAATCATGTCTACTCTATCTGAAACAGATAATGTCTATGTACTTGTCTATGTACTTGTCTATGTACTTGTCTATGTACTTGTCTATGTACTTCGATATATCTATGAAATATCAAATTAGTACTTAGGTGTAAATGTAAGATGTATAAGATGTACCAATTCTTTCCATGATATCAAAAATATGGCTATGAGTCAAAAGCCTAGGACGCCAACTAGGTCCTGTAAAATAGTTTGCTATTGGATGTTTATTCCCCCAGTCATATGGTAATAATAGGTTTTGACCCATATCCATTTGTATCCCACTGGGTTAGTTATAAATCATTGGATACACTCTATGTTTACTGGATATACTCCATGTTCATATCCCATTTGGACTAGCTATAAATCTGTGTGTATATCGAACAATGGTATATGAGTATAAATATCCAATAATGGAACTTTAAAAGGGTACATATCCAAGAATGTGTATATCCTATATGACTATAATGTGATAAATGTTGACCTTTGGTAATTTAACATAGCTATGGAACATGGATGAATCTGGCCCATTCGAGATGTAAAAATGAGTATGTGCAAAAATGAAAATTGTATAATGGATAATAAGGCTGTTATTGAGTTGTGCCAAAAATATCAATAACGAGTATATCCAAAAAGGTTTGTCTGATATAGAGTATATCATTGCTATTTTAATGGGAAAATGATCGTTAATATTCACTGATCATAAAATTTTGGGGTAGCTTGTGTTTAGACAAACCCATATCATGTGGTAAACCCAATAGTACACCAGCCCCCAATAGAGGTTTAATCATGATCAATACTGGTGAATAATGGCTGTGAATGACTTAATCACGGGTATTCAATTGCCAATGGCTATTTTGTTCATACCCCCACCCCCAAGAAAAGAAATATCGCATGATACCACCATGAAATATCCCAGTGTGTCTAAAATGCTCACCATGTTTGTTGGTTAAATCCCAATGTTCCAATAATGTCCCTGATGAGTTCTCCAATGGCTTATGTTTTTTTTCACCACTTGTGAGTGTGATCCCAGGTTGTGACGAACCAGGAGCTATCAGTGGGGCTAACCAGCATATAAGCGGTTAAGCTTAACCATATAGGCCATATATTATAAGCCATATGGGTATGGATCAATACCTATGAAAATACCATTTTCAGTGGGATGAACATCCATTTACCAGCTATTTTGATGTGAACTACAGGGGTACAAGGTTTTGACACACTGCCATATCTAAGTGGGGATATGTTGTCTATAAATCACCAAATGAGATACGCATCCAAGTGGTGATAACCAGGATCGAAATTCTGCCAAGTCTGGTGCTCGTGGTGCTCGTGTCTGGGGGATCACCATCAGTTTTCTGAGCCAGAAAACATGTGGATACACTCTGGTAAACAAACATAGCTATTGAAAATGGCCATTTATAGTGAGTTTTCCCACTGAAGATGGTGATTTTCCATAGTTTCTTGTTAATGTTTACCAGGCCGGGTATATGATATAACCCATGATGATGAGGATTCAACCAATGATGACTAGGAACTTATTCTCATCACCCGGCTTATGAAAACCTATTACGCATTGAAAGTGAGATGGTCCAAGTCCAAGTATTGAAAGTGTTCTGGCAAATAGCTAGGGATTGAAAACTCAAGGTGATTGAAAGACCTCAATCGCTTTACAAACTAGATTTAGTTGCGTCTTTCTCCATTAGAATTGTGGGAAAAACAACTATGTTCAATGGAAAATGATCTCTGTGCATAGATTCAAAATAGTCCCTAGTGAAAATGGTGAGTTCCCAGCCACTATCATTGGTTGATTGGATGATGATCAACCCCAATAATTCAATGTAGCTGTTTCTTTAAATTGGGCAATGGCACAAGCGGGAAAAACGGAGTTTCCGGAATTTCAAGGACAGCTGACCATATAATCATCCTATAACATACTATAACTATAACGGGAGGTTTCCTAAGATGGAGGTACCCGTTTTAGTATTGAAACCCATTGTAGTTTGGGGGATCCCCGGTTTCAAGAAAACCCAATATACTTCGATATATATATCTATATACATATATCAACTCCACTCATTCGCACTTTCTCACAGGTCCCCACCAACTCCTCGGATGCCTCAGAAGCCTCAGAAAGTCAAGATGCTTCAGCGCGTTGATGCAGAGATTCACCAGAAAAAAAGGTGGTAACCTACAGAATTTGGGGACAAAATGTCCAGCTATCGATCGATATATATATATATATATATTGACAAAAATGGAGGTTTGAGCTAGAAAAATGGAGGTTGTAGCTTCAAAAAAAAGAGATTTTTTCAGACAACCAAATGGAGGTTTAAGTTTAAGCAACAAGTGCTGCAAAGTTATGATGCTTTCACCAAGCAAAATGGTGGCTAAACCCTACCAAAAATGGTAGAGAGTAAGCAATGATATGTGAGAAGCGGATGAACAAATCCTCCGAGCTCCTGGGCTTTTCAGAAAATTTCACCCAGCAAATGTCCAGTGGCCACCTTTGGGCCACCCTTCGAGCCGCAGGTCATGGATTCTGACCATCTTCAAGCTATTGGAGAGTAGAACTCTAGTATAACATAGTATAAGTGTTAGAAACCAATGTATAACCCCATAGAATCATTGATCAGTTGTATCAGTCTCATATTTATCCATGTTGATCCTCATATTTTGCTGGTTAAAACCTATCTTTGGTAAAAATTGTCTCCGCACTGCTCAGGTCGCCAACATGGCTCACAGCTCGTTGGGTCGCTTCTCACCTTTGCCTCGCCATCGACTGATGCTGGATGTGGTCACCAAAAAAACGACCATGGCTGGCGAAATACGTTTGACCCGTTTTCGGATGAGAGTTTTTGGCCAAATTTTGAGCCAGTCTGTATATCAAAAAAACTCTGAGGTCTTCTTTATTCCGGCAGAAAAAAAGAATGGGCCTTTTTTGGCGTTGCCGTTGAACTCGGGCTTGAGCTGGTTGAAGGTCCAAATGTTGATGGTGTACTTCACTCCTTTTTCCACCTGATCAACTCCAAGAGATCAAAAACGGGTAGGTCTTGTCCTGGTCTCCAGAAACACCCAGGGGGGGGCCGCTTTTTGCCCCGAAAAATCTGGTGATATTTAAATGAGAATCAAGCAACTTGGAGAATTATGTCATCAAATGGCCGGATTCCCCTCCATGGTTACGTCACTGAGTAGGTCCTTGCGTCTTGAGCACCCTTTTTCGGTTTTGCTGGATACACCGCGGACTCTTGTTCAACCGTGTGTTCCATATCTCTGGAAATTTGCTGGAGGGTAAATTGAATGGAACTTTTGGGCGAATATCCTGCTAATGTGGGTTGCATTAGACATTCACGTTTGAGCGCGAAAACGAGTGAGCATGTGCCGAAGATGTCTATCCTTTCCCGACGCTTTCCAAAAAGCATCCAATTGGGCATGGTGCCTGTATACCGCCCAGGAAACTGGTGAAATTGGTGGTGATTCACGCTTACCACTATTGTCATCAGCTGTATCAGTGTAATTATCTCATCATGATCATTATCATGATTATATATATATATCACCCTTACCACTATTATCAATATAATCACTGTGATCATTATGATTCTATATGATCATTATCATTACCGTTATCATCAACATAATAATAACAACAACAATTTTTAAAAAAAAATACAAATAAAATACAAATAACAATGATAATAATAATCATCATCATCATTCTTGTTGTCTTTACTACATTGCATCTGTGGTCCTGCTGTTACCGCATCCCATCTACATCGCCATCCGCACCTTGCACGCACCGTGCATCGAGGACAGATTGGGGCGCCCGTTTGGATGCAGCGAGTAGAACATCAGCGCACGACCTATCGCTGGAAATGTTTCCTGTGGTAAACTAACATAGCTATTGAAAATGACCATTTATAGTGGATTTGTCCATTAAAAATCGTGATTTTCCATAGCTATGTTAAATTACCAGAGGGTACTGTGGTAAACCCTCCAAGTCATCATAAAATGGGTAGGATTGAAACCATCCCCACATGGTAGGTCCACATGGCATTGTTCTTATCTAGACAAAAAGACTTTCATGATGGGCACCCGGCCTGGTAATGACTCACAGTTTGCGAACTTGAAAACCAGCAATTTTAATAGGTAAATCGTTTTTAAATGGCAATTGTCCATAGCTATGATAAATTACCAGAGGGTAATGTGTTTTCAAATTTCAAAGGATGAAATAGGATTATAGCTCATATGATGACGTTTCCATTGCAAAAGCTTCAATCATTTTCTTGGGTAGAAAACATTCCTCCATCTCTGGAAAGAATATGATAACATTAAATTAAACTACCCCTCCAACATTCTCCAAGCTTTCCTAACGTTTGGGGTGGCCTGAAGATTCAAGATTTAAGTGTCCATCCAAAAGCCTGGTTTAGGGGAGTTTCCTGGCAGAGCCCTATTGACACGTTGCCTTGGGCAACCTTGGAGCAATATCCATCAATATCTCATGGTTAACATCCAGTGGCAATCCGGATTTGAGAGATGTCTGTCTCTAGTGGCTTGGATCAAAATCGGCAGTTTCTCCTGGTGTTCACCAACTTGTTCTTGAGCGCTTCACCAACTAACAATGGCTATTTAACATGCTTTAACCAACTATTATGGGAATGCAGCAATGTGGGTAAAACAATGCCATGTTTACCATCCCAGGAAAATGGGTGGTAAAAATGGCATTGTTTTACCCACATGAATCCATCGAGACGTGATCCGGAGAGAGGTCTGCAGAGTTGGTTTCGACCAGCGAAACCCGAAACCCGAAACCCGAAACCCGAAACCCGAAACCGACTCGAATCCGACTTTTGGGTGGCTCTCCGGATCGGAACTCAATCCATCAGTCTTTGTTAATCTCACCATGTTCCGCAGAAAACCATCTCCCCGCCGCGCCTCGTCGGGGCTTCACCGCTGGGCCCTCACACTTCAAGACGTCCGAGGGCAACGGGCCACCGTAGCTGCTGGGGAAATACCTTGTGGGCGGCTCTGGAGCCGGACTCCTCAAAGTATGCCAAGTATCTGATGACTTTTTTGAAATTTCTTGAAGCTTCTGTTGGGTTTGTGAACCAAATATCTAATAACATTCAAGAAGCCTGACTAAGCCTAGTTGTTACCAAAAGTCTCCCTTCATGTCATTGGCCTTACATGTCCCTAGAAAACTAGACATGTATCGTGATTCTTTTGCGGCCCATGCCTCTGACAAAGCTGGGATGGCCTGGTCCGGTTGGGAATGGAATGTGTAGCAGTAAGTACAACATACCAGTAATATATCTACAATATATGAATATGATATTCCAAAATGTAATATAAAATATATGTAATTATATACTGGAATGCACACCAGTAATCTATGTAATATATCAATGGAATATACATAGATTTTGGAATGAATTTGCGGAAACAGTTCTGTCAATACTCAAATGGCTTGCTGCAGTTGCGAAAGAAGGAACTGCTCGTTGGAGATGTCAGATGTCTACCCTCTGGTAAACTAACATAGCTATGATTTGTCCATTAAAAATGGTGATTTTCGATAGCTATGTTAAATTACCAGAGGGTATTTTTTACTTTTTGGGTGTGTACAAAAAATATCAAAAAAATGGTCTACTCGCAATTTTTGTCTCGGGAGGAAAATGATAAACCATCAAAATGTGAAAATCTTGTCAATGGCATACGGCTGTGATCACCTCTATCGAACCAAGCATCAAACGCAAAACCGTCTGACACCTTCTTTTTGGGCCAAAATCCCTATGTTTTCGGGGCACCCAAAACTGCTGAAACTGCCAGACCGTTGTCCCCACAAAAAAACGCCAAGCAGTAGTAGTTGCCGCTACTCTTGGTAAAAAATAGCTCCATCTTTGCTGTACTTGTATTTTGTTGACTATATTTGTAGGATTCCCATTGTTTTTCTGAAAAGCCAAATTTTCTTTGGTCAAATCTAGACCTTTTCTTGGCCCGTAGGTCACCAGTTTCATGGATTTCTCCGGATCGGTTCTAGTCGAAAATATAAAGGAAACATTGGTTTTCGCAGTCCAATAATTGGAGGTTTCTTGTAAAGTTTCCCAGCAATTCTGCGTGATTCTCCCCAGGAATCGCTTTGGTGAGTTAGCTCACCCGAGTTAGAAAACATGTTATACCCTCTGGTAAACTAACAGTTTGCTATTGAAAATGGCCATTTATAGTGAGTTGTCCCATTAAAAATGGTGATTTTCCATAGCTATGTTAGTTTACCAGAGGGTAACTGGACTGACCCTACTTGCCCTACTTACAACTGGCCTAACGTGACTAAAGTATACTAAAGTACCAATTCTGTGGATGGTCGCTTGAGTCGCTTCTTCGCTACCTTCCCCAACCACTTCTCACAAGGCACGTAGCACCGCCTTTGGCTACAGTGCCTCGAGCTTAGGATCTATGACACAACACAACGCACAGAAATGCTGGAAATGATGGGAAAAAAACAAAAATTGTTGGTTGATCATAATGTTCAAAACAAATAATATCCGTTTGGGGGGTACACAGCATTTTCAGACTCACCCAAATGGATATGAATTCGATATCGACGCTGATATTGAAAACAGAGCGAAATAGATTGGGCTTGGGTCTGAATTGATGATGGAAGTCGACATGAAATTCAATTTCAAGTATCCACATGCATATTGCAGTGTAACAGGACATGCTTTATTGGAAAGCGACTTTGCATGGTCAAGTTTGCTCTAATACCAGTGCTTTGGGGCATCCCACATCTATTCATGTCCTCACAGTGTTCATCGATCTACCTCCCTCTCCATTCACAATGCCAAGACATGCCAAGACTATATATTTTGGTGATTTTTGGTGCAGGTCACCCAAAGTCGCTTTCAAAAAGATGTTCCATTCCAATCTGCCCAAGCTGTATTCTCGGAGTATCCCAAAATCGCAACACTTGGGGAGTTGGACGATGTCGGACTCTGCCAGAGTCATGGAAAAACATCGGACCAAAAAAATGATCGACCAAGGAACTCAAGTACAAATAGACTGTGACCAACCAGTTGCGGCCATTTTGCAGTTCATTGAGCACCTCACTGTGTAGTTCATTGGCAACATTCCGGGCCACAAGCCATAGGGCCATAGGTCTCCCAAACTAATTTGAGTCGACCAAGATACATTTTTCTCCACATATTTATCTTTCAAGGATCACAACATTGCTGGTATGTTTCCAATCCAGCTCTAAGTCCTCTGGGTTTACCTTTCTGATCGCCGGTGGGAGTCGGTTTCCGGTTCTTCGAGTTGATCGAGGGTACCTTCCAGTTAGGCGACCAGACCATCACTGGATCCATGCTTCTAGTGGCTGGGGGCCATGTACAACGGCTACCCAAACCATCCTGACACTTATTATAAGTGCTACTTCAACCCATGCGATATCAGCCGTTTGGCATTTTTTTCAAGCCATCTTAAAGAACGCTTAGACCAAAATGGAGTTCAACTGATACCACCAGGCAGATTTCGAGGCTCGATACACTGTTATGTCCATCAAAATGGCTCGAAATCCCTGTATACACTATTGTATCTCCTAACAATTTTAATGTCAGTAAAGCAATAGTAAACCATCCTCAGTTTTACCATAAATGATTTGTATAATAAACCATCAAAATATGGGTGGTTATGACATTGCTTACAAATATTAGCCATTTCTTGAACACATTCACTTCATGACCCTTATCCTCAATCCAACGGAGTGCACCTCAGGCTGTTCCTGAAAGTCTTCCGGCTCGTAGTAGTCGGTATGTGCCCCAAAATGCTGCCCGGGTTCATACCTCGCCACAGCAAAGGGGGAAACACAGTGGTAGGACTGAAATGATTCCTGGTAGTTAAAGAGCTAGTAAATTCTTTGGAGATCAAAATGGATCTCAGGAGTTGTAGGAGTTGTAGGAGCGAGTTCCTCATCACTTCCGAAGTTGAGTGGTCACTATGATTCGCACGTCCTCCCCATTTTACAAGTGGGTCCAAACATGAAGTACAACCGAATTGCAATTTTCTAAGGGAAAAGGAGGTTCCAAACCACTCAACATTTAGGGTGTTCCCAAGATGTTTAAGGCAGCCCCGGCGAAACAAGGCGCAACACATCATCTTTTCCATGGCCAGATTTTCGCCAGAAGAACCTATTGATTGCCAATTGCAAGTCAGATATGCTTCGACTGAACCGACCAGGTCATGGACTGAACATTGCAATGACCCACTGGGATTTACCCCTGAAAAACTGAACGAATCTGCAGATTGAAAGCTGCTGGACAGCTGCTCTGTTGTAGATGTTTGTTCCTACAAACGCTACTAGTAGATCTGAGATTGTTTGGAAATCCTCATCAGCTATCCAATGTTATCCACATCCCATATTGTCAAGAAAAAATCTCATGGTAATTGGCGAATTCCTCATTATCACTGCTTCACTCCCTACCTTTTTGTTGTTTGATTCCTCCGAAACCACCTCTGATTTCGACCTACGCCTGCCAAGGTTTTAGAAACGTGCAGAAAGTACCATGCCTGCCACGCAGATGAAAAATTATTCGGGCCTCAAAATGTCCCCGAAGTCCCACACCTGCCACGAGAAACGGACATAGCTCAAACATGGCCTGCTGGAAATTCGCCCATTTAGTTCGATGATTTTCCCAGCCATAAAGCTCCATTCATAGGGAATGTCCCAGCTAGCCGCGTTTGATGACACCGGATGGTATATTCCAGTGATTCCTGCAAAATCAATTAATCAATCCCATTGTATGAAGGTCAGATTTGGTCAGATGGCAAATTAATACAACCCATTACTTTGTATGTATATATATATATATTAACTATAAGTATGATGAATTTCAAATCTTAAAGTTCAACTATACTATGCCCAAAATTTGGATCATGAATTTCATATATATATAACATTATATAACATTAAATAACATTATATAACATTATATAACATTATATAACATTATATAACATTATATAACATTATATAACAATATATAACAATATATATATATTATATATATACAGTAACTCATAGTAATAATGAAGATCCAGCACAAATAACCACCGAAGGGATTTCCAGCACCAAGGCACCGTAGCACGCGAAAATCCGCCTGCAACTCCCGCGGCACCCGCACCAGCGCCGCACTGCGCTGCGCCACGTTTTCCAGGTCCGGGCCGTCCTTGGGCGATAGCCTCGGCGACTGGAGATCTGGGGCCCTGGGGATGGGAAAAAACATGGGAAAATGGGGAAGGTTCAAATGATTTACAAGGATGTTCAAGATGATTTCAGATTTTTCAGATGATTAAAAGTTGATACAATAAAAACAATAATTTATCATCTTAATTCATCTTAAAACATTGCAAATCACGTTTAATCATCATGATTTAACATGATTTGCAATGTTTTAAGATGAATTAAGATGATAAACATTGTTTTTATTGTATCAACTTGTGGTGTACCCAAGTTGGAATCAACTTAACACGTGGTGATTGGGGTAAACTACAACGACTAAGTCCTATACCCAGCGGCTGGGACATCTTTGAACCCCAAACTCGCCATTTCTCCAGGTTCCAAGTCCATAAAATTTAGTTTTCCCACAAGTTGGGGCTCAAAATTTGATACCCCTCTGGTAATTTGTTACAGTTTGCTATTGAAAATTGCCATAGAAATAGTTGATTTATATACCTTTTACGAAAATGGTGGATCTTTCCAAATTGAATGGACCAGTCCCTCCAGTCCCTACGTATCGCCACGTGTTCGAGCAATGCGGTAGGCACATGGTCGAGGAAGTTTTATGAACAAAGCCCTATTACCTAATGACGAATCATTAGATATTGAAATAGTATGTCATAGCCAACCGTTAGTACGGCAATCAATACTTCTATTCGCCGCCAATGATGTGTATATATATATAACCGTATACACATATATGTATCATTGTTATTGCATCCATATATCGTATCACCTTATCACAACCCACCATTAGATCAATAAGAGTAAGACTATAGATGCATTATATATATATGATAATGTACATATATATATATATGCTAATGTATATACATTTACATATTGCACAACCTCACTTAAAAGGCGGAGAAACAACAACGCAACAACAACATATGACACAGCACAAGAATAGCTAAGTCACCAGGTCTCCCAACAGGTCCTCACCTCAACTCCCAAGTCTTCGACGTTTTCCTGACATCGAAAACGCCGTTCTTGGCCGCAGGGGCCATGCTTTAGGGGGTGGATGACAGGTGGATGTCTAAGTCATCCACCTGTTTTTTGCAGATCTAATTGGAATATGAGTGATGAAGATTGTTCATGATAAATGACAACCAACCCCAGAAATGGCCTTGATATTGTCATGATACCTCAATATTCACCATTATTCGCCGTATTGCATTGAAATACTAGAAGGTGGTGTGGAATCTGACTCCACGATGTGAATGCATAGCTACGCGCTACGATTTTCTCAACTTTACACTACTTTGTTACGTGAGTACATACTCAAATCAGTTCTCATCTCAAGGACAATTCTAGTATTTCGTTGCTTAGCTCTTCAGCTCAATTTTTTTGGTCGCTCCTTTAGGCTTCTTTTTCAAGGTTGGAAATATCTGGACTTTCTCAGCCTGAAACTAGGCATTTTTGCTCCAGACTCCTCAATTTCTAGACCGAGTGAAGCAAACTCCAAATCTTTGCCGCTGAAGATCTCCAATTTTTGCAACTATCCCAACTTTTGCTGGTTGACATCTATGGTTTTTGCTGCTGAATTCACATAGTGGTCCCCTAACTGTGTACCCTATGGCTTCATCTGTGGCTTTGTTTGTTTTGGGCTCTCCTTCTGCGAGTCTTGCGTCATAATCTCCGCTGGTCGCAGCTTGGGCTTGGCCAGCTTAATCATGCGCTCTGCGGAGGCCCTTGAGGACGGGTCAAAACACCGCTTCGTGAGATCAAAAATCATGAGGAATAGGTAACCAAATGTGATTTGGCTTGTTCCGTTAAAGTGATGGGATCATTATAGATCCGGTTTGCAATCAGTAACCACAAGTGATTTCACTTACAAACCAATGGAATTATATACATGGATGTCTTCCGACAGATTTTGGGATGGTTTGGTGTGATACATCAGCCAAGAAAATCGAAATCGAACCAATAAGACCGGACAATTAATCTGGTGGGTGGTTTCAACCCATCTGAAAAATATGAAAGTCAGTTGGGACAATTATTCCCAATACATGGAAAAAGAAAAAATGTTCCAAACCACCAACCAGTAGTTGCACAACAAGGGCTACAGCCACTCTGAAATTGAAGCGTGCAAAGACAAATAACGGGCCAGGGCAGAAAATCAGGTTCCATCATCCCAAATGGGCTTGGCCATGCTGTTGATCAACAGTCCACCCTTTGGTGCGTTTTGGTCGCAAATATCGAGCACCTCAAAAATCGACCCTTCAACAATCCTTCAAGGGCGTTTAGATCAACTGTTGGGGTCAACTGTTGGATTATCTATGATTATCTTATACTTGTAGATCCCATAGATTGCATATTATACTAATATCCTATATATTATTAATATCTATGAACCCGGGGATCTTATATGACTTATATATTAATATATATTATAGATCCCATAGATCCCATAGATTCCATCTCCGGGTTCATCCTGCTCCAGCCATCCCAACCACCAAGGGACTTGTCGAAAAAGTCTTCAATGGTGAAGGACAAGGGGTCCAACGTCAAGGCCTTCAGAGTGACATTCATCTCCTGGGCGAAAAAATAAAACCGGAGGCTTTGGTGACTCGATTTTTTGCAAAAAAAAACACATCCCCATTTTATATCACCATATTTCAATTTGGATCATGGATCTATGATATAAACCACCATATTTCATATATGATCCAAAATTGGTTAAGTCATGTTCCATCACCCAATTTTGGATCATGGGGGAGCCTCGCCAGCCGTCGGCAGCGCCACGCGCCGTTGGAAGCCCTCGCGGATGCCGGGCCACACCCAGCGACCGCCCTCGAAGAGAAGGAGAAGGCCCTGTACGGCCGACAGGTCCTGGGATGTGGGTCCCATTTTAACCATGGTTTTCCTCAAAGGGTTTCATGACTTGGATGATTTGGGGGTACCCTGAGGTTAGGGAAATGAGAGTTGAACAAACAACTTAGAGATTCAGCAACTAAAATAGGGATTGAAGCAACAAAAGAGTAGAGTTGGTGGATGAACCGACAAGAATTACAATAATTGGAATTTTGACTCGGTGAGTTATTTAACCCAAAATGATTTAATGGTGTCCTTGAATCAGGTTTGAGACAAAGCGTAAATGGGAATGGATGAATACATATGAATACCAAGCAACTCAAAAGGAGTGTTCTTCACATCTCAAGAGCATTTCTAGGGTTTGAACATGTTTGAACTCTACAGCACAGGGTGTTGACCCAGAACCATGTCACGGATTTTTGAATGGATGAGTTCTTTGCAGCATTGGGGTTGAAGCCAAACTTAGCAACGATGAGTAAGTTGATGTAGCCGTCCGACTGGAGGATTGACAGTGAGTAAGTGTCAAAACCCTGTTGCCCTAGATACCCTGAAACAGCTGGTTAATGGATGATTATTCCCCAAAATATCCAAAAGAATGGGTTTTGACCCATCCCCATATCTAATTATTTAGATATATGAGTTTATAGTTTGAAGTAGGAGATATCTCAATTCAGTTCGGGAAAAAAGAAACACCATCCCGAATAGAGCTTTATGATTGAGCCTATGTTGGATGATGTAAAATGACCTGAAAAATGGTTGCGGACAATGAGATGGTTTCCTATTGGGTGTACCACATGAAGCCACTTACCAATCACTGTGTAAAAAGGCTGACAGGCACAAACCTACCCGGATGGAGACTTGATGCGGATTCGAAGCCATGAGAGGTCGGGTTGTCCAAGAATGGGGCATTGCGGCATGCCCCCATTCGCACGTTGCAATGTTGATGGGGCAAGATGATAATTAAACCCATTCTGGGGAGAATAGAGGTTTATTTTATGATCCTCTTCTAAATCCACGCAAAGAGAAATGGGCAAAAAAGAAAAAACATTTCGGAGGCTTTCCCAACATCCAGGTTGCATCCACCCCCAAATGCCACAGCCCAGACCCGCTCGCCCCCGTGAACTCCTGCACTGGGACCCCAGAGGTATCTGCCAGTAACCTGGGCAAAAGTCAATTAAGTCAATGGATGTCAATGGACATCATGGACCTCCCAAAAGATGGAAAAAGCAACTCCTACCCTCTGGTCAACATTAACAAGAAACCATGGAAAATCACCATTATTCATGGGAAAACTCACTATTTCTATGGCCATGTTCCAGTTCGCTACGTAACAAATTGTCGATCATCCCACAATGGATCAAAAGATCCACCAGCTGAAACTCCAGCAGCATTGGCCGTTTCGAAACCTCAAAGGCCTGAAAGAAACACCTAAAAAACATGGATGAGTCCAAAAATTGGGGAAAACACGAAGGGTTTTCTATGGTTTTCTGCTTGCCAGATCAAAGTTGATCAATTTTGGGCTACCCATTTCTTTCTTTGAAATAGCCATGGCTCTTCGTCCAAATCATACCCGTCATTCGGTAGTCTCCAAAGTCTCCAATTATGGAGATCCCAATCTCCGCAGTTCGGAAAGGGTCCATTCCAAATATCCAGTTGCTTTTGTAGCATCATAATAAGTCATACTAAGTGCAATCGTCTGGATATTTAACTATCACGGATAATCACTATGAAAAAAACCATGATAATCAGCTAAAAAAGAGGGATATCTGTATCTGTTTAATCTGACTACATTCACTGTTAGAATAACTCTCGTCTCATCTGTATAACTCTTGTTGAACTGACAATATCTGCTTAATATATGGGGTATCACCAGTTTATTTATGTAAGTGTGCATATCAGCTGACTGGCTGAGCTATCATAGGCAGCTGACTTTCCAATATAAAAACGTTGTCTATGTTCACAGTCTATGTTAATTTGATAGATGGTAATTGGGAGTTAACCATCATTTAAGAAAACTGGTGGTATCATGCAATATAATGGTGGTATCATGTGATACAATGGTTGTATAATGAGAATTAATTAATAGGATATAATGGTGGTATAAAGGACAACAATCAAGATATAAATCTGATCATGACCTCACGTCGTCTTCAGAAATTATGGAATGATGGTAACGGGCCATAGGGGAATCTCTTCCCAAGTGGCAGGGTCAATGATGGTTAAATCCCTGTTCTCCTCCCTCAACTTAACAGCTTGACCCTGAAAATAGCCAATGCAAACATTGGAAAGTAAGCTTCGAACCTCCCATGGCAGGACCTCTATGAACTGAAGGGATACCACAATTTTCTACCACCATTTTTCTCAGACATGATGAAATGATGGCATTTTTCCCCATCCAAAATAGCCATAGCATAGCCATAGCATAGCCATTTTTTCCAGGCGACCAGGGCAAGACTTTCCACATCTCCTGCGGTTCCATGTGCGCTTTCTTCTCCAATTGCTTTCGCAACGAGGACCTCATGGCACCGTCGATGTCGTCGATTCACCCAAGGGGATAGATGTCAAAAAAACCCAAGGGGAAACCAATGTCATGCCAGTGGGGATTCATGGGGATTCAACAAAAAGACCAATGTCATGCCTTTTTAAGTGGGAAACTTCTGGATTTTTGTTTGCATAAATATCATCCAACTTTCACATCCGAGTTTGACTCACACTTTTCGGCATCTTTTTGGCCCCAAGAAGCTCGCTGTGAGCTGAATTAAAGTAATATAGATATAGACACCCCATTCCCAGAGAAAAAAATACAAATGGCGGTTTTTCCATATCTTATGTCAATTTACGCATATCAACCACTAAAAATTGGACCATCTGGAAATATAGCTAGTCAAAGGAATATGCGCGGCATCTATTTGTGTTGTTCCAAAATGGTGTGTCAGGGTCCGACTGGATCCAATTGCAAGCAGCTCATTCTTGGTCTGGTTTGTTTACATATGTATAAATATATATATATATATATATGTATATTGATGATAGTTGAGCTATCTTGAGTATACCTCATGTTTTTTGATTATATCAATCATATCCTTACTGTTGATCACTGTTTGAAGGCTTACTATAGACCATGATAGACTCATGGAGTTCCCCAAGTTCCAAGCGAAACAGGGTGGCTGTAGAGCTGCTGACAAGGTGCATGGAGGAGATCTTGCTGTCCCACTGCACCTCGCGTGGTCACAGAGATCACTGAAACCAAATATAGATATGTTTGTATAATAATATCTATATATGATTCATGTATATATTATATATAATGTGTGTACTATATGTATACTGTATATATATATATGATATATATATATATCATATATATATATCATATATATATATCATATATATATATATCATATATATATATATTATATATTATATACTATATACTATACTATACTATACTATGCTATACTACACTACACTATACTATACTATACTATATTATATGATATTATGTTATATCATATTATATTATGTTATATCGTATTTTTTTGTCATATTATATCATATTATATTATGTTATATCGTATTATATTATGTTATACCGTATTATATTCTATTATATTTTGTTATATCATATTATATTATGTTATATCGTATTATATTATGTTATATCGTATTATATTCTATTATATTTTGTTATATCATATTATATTATGTTATATCGTACTATATTATGTTATATCATATAATATAATATCATATCATATCATATCATATATAGATATATGATGACCTATATAATAACATGTATATTGTATGTTTCCAATTTCAGGAACTTCCCGTTTCCGCCCACCTTGCGACCACTGTGACCACCTCGGAAGAGCTCAAAGGAGGTGCTCCCCGTGCCGCTGTCGGCGCACAACCTGAGGATTGCTTGAAGGATGCACAAAATTTACGCGCTTGCCAGTTGAATTGAGACCACGGCTGGTTTGGGGTTATACGATGTTATACGTGTGTATGTATATATATATATAGTTTTATAGCTGTATATTTGACACAAAGTCTCAACAATTGTCAAAGTTCTAGGTTCTACTGTGGTCGTGAACAATTAGTTTAGTTATGCTAGCTTCAATCAAGTAAACTAAGTAATGTGCAATACATGTGTGAGCGAATTTACCGGAGGCAACATTCTCTGAGAATCAACTCCAGGGCGAATCACAGTCCCACTTGGAATGGTTCCTCTTCAAATAGGCTCCTGTGAATCCTGGGTTGTAGGTGGCACCAGACAATCCAAACTCGGCGCCTTCCAGTTTGCAAGTGACTGCCAAGCCTGGTTAATCCTGATTTTTGGAGGAAACCAAACAGAATGATTCACCAGATTATCTATCTTCTGACAATGGTTTTTCCCATCACCATTTCTTGCTAGCCCATGAAACTCATCATATTTCTTGCAAATTATCCAAGAAAACCATTGCAGACTATTTAATGCTTAGATACTATTTAATTACTATCGTAAAACCCTTAACATTTTGGGAGGATTTACTATAAACCCTATAAATCCTATCCTGAGTGGGGTGTCCAAACGCAAATCCGACTTGAACTGGAACATAAACGATCAATTGCTGGTACTCGTAAGTGATACATAAATTAGATTATATCATACTATATCAATTTATATCATATCGTATCATATCATATCATATCCTATCATATCATATTACTATTATGTATATATATATATATATATCCATGCATGTGTCCATGCAGCCAGAGCACACGTGATATCCCGGCGGCGCCCAGTCTGCCGATTCATACAGCCACTCTGCCAGCCCCTCGCAGCGCGCAGCGCGCGCTGCGCGCGCAGCGGCCGCATCTGCCAGCGCTGCAAAGGCTGCGAGTCGCAACGCAGCCGGGCGCATGGAGCGAAGCCGCAGCCGGGTTACATAACCAACTCGGATTCATTTTAGCCATGAATATGTTGACCAACAAATACATATGTTAATAATTATAAGTATATATATATATATACTTGAATTACACAAAATATTGGGATTTATGTTAACTAATAGATATAGAGAGTCAAAACCAACAAGCACCGTCCTTACTGAAGTGATTCAAGAGCTCAACTCTGAGATCAAATTTTGTGGGTCTCGATGGTCAGGATCCGTGCACAGCTACGCTGTTCGTGTGGTTTGATTTCACCCAGTGGTATACCCTCTGGTAATTTAAGCTAGCGAACTGGAAAAACACAACATTTTCAGTTCGGTAAATCAACTATTTTTATGGGCCATTTTCTATATCTATGTTAGCTTACCAGAAGGTATATCAGTTTTCGTTTACAAAACATCCCAGTGGTTGGCTCTCACACTGGGTCCGGCACCTCAGGTTTCACGTACCTCAACCGTACGGATCGTTCGCCGGCATGGCGAACGATCCCAAAAAAACGATCAAAAAAAACAGTTGCATTGAATTATTGGATTATTAATTACTGGATTACTGAAAATTATTGGATTATTGAAAATTTCTCAAGTTCAATTGAATTATTGGATTGCTTATCTCAGTTACAATTACCCTACAGTACAGTAAACAAAGATATGAAGAAGATGCGGTTTGAGACCATTTTCCCTGGCAAGCCATGGCTCCTGAATGTCTTTCTGTATGTTTACTGCAGAAAAATCAGTGGAACACGCACAATTTTCAGATGAAGATCATCTTCCAAACGGGTTTCCTCATGGCGTTTCCACATTTTTTTCTATATTTACCCTAATGTGGGAAGAAAATGTTAAAAAGAAAAAAACCTACATCATTTGGATATTTAACATAGCCATGGAAAGATCCACCATTTTTCATAGGTAAACCATCTATTTCGATTAGGGCCATTTTCCAGTTCGCTATGTTGAATAACCAGATGTGTCGCCGCCATCGCCGATGCGGCACGCTTCGGCGTCCAGATGTGCCAGGGCCTGGAAAGGAGACAGGTCTGACAGTTAGGAACTGCAGTGGTCGTAGCATCCCGAAGAACCGGATGCCCAGCAGTGATGCCCCGCATGGCCGATAGTCTACAGGTGGTTGGGTGTAGCCCCATTCACAGCTGTGGGACTGCGCTACCACTCCACGCAAAAACCAGCCTCCAGGTCTACAAAGCTCATGCTACCTCAGCCGAGTTGGCATGGATTGCCCTGTTGTTATTTAAGAGTTTGCTGTGGAAAGTGGCCCATGAAAATAGATCGTTTATGATTATTTACCGATTCAAAATGGTGATTTTCCACAGCCATGTTAAATTACCAGGGGACACTTTTCATAAAATCGCTCTGACGATCTCTGAATGGCTAGTACTTGGATTATATCCCATATGATTCCACTATAATCCAGCTTTTTTTGTGGGCATAAGCCCATTCCTAGCCATCAATAGTCAGTGCCGCGGGTAGTTGATACCTGGATTGGTAATGCGTCAGTATCCGTGCCGAAGTCGTCACCCGTTGCCAACTTCAGTTCGATCTTTTTCCATAGTAGCTGATCCCAGAATATCTCTATAGAAATTCTCCGAAAGTGTATATGATTATGTACATATACATGTACATAGGTGCGTCTGAAACTGAGATATAGCACCAATTCGTGGAAAGGGAATCCACGTGTTTGTTCCAGCGGATTGAGGGCCCTAGTTTATCCCTGAAATACTGTGTCCATCGATAGTGTCCTTTTAAGGAAACACAGAGGTGAAGATGTGATAAATTATTATCAAACTTATCTATTGGTTGTTGCATTGAATAGAGGTCCTTCTGTGAATAAACCAATGACTTATGAAAAAAGGACATCTATGGTAAAAGCTGAGGCCCCCCAAGTTCTAAGTTGCTTTACAAACCCCATAAATACTAAAAAAAAACAGACGTGAACCAAGTGATTTACGACTTAGCATGACTTAGCTATCATAAATCAGCAATCCCAAAAAGTCACCATTTTTTTCTGGGTGAAATCACCCCATGTTCTTTTGGTTTCGGCCTCCCTCAGCTGGTAACCACCAGTAGATCTTCCATCAAGATGCTCTCACCACTGATGTCGCTGGTACTCTCCACTGTGGAGGTCTGTAACTGGAGGGATTGCAGCTGAACCGTGTTTTAGATACTATCTTGATTGGTTATGACTAATCATTTAATTGGGATTAGATAATGGGGGTGTATAATATATATATATACACATGTATACAATCTAAATCATAATTGGATGATTAACTAATAATTGGTCTCTTAATTGGGTAGATAATTGTGGATTAGGATGACTAAGAGATACCAAAGGGCGTGAAAAATACCAAAGGGTACTGGTGAATCTTTGGTATCCCTTGGTAGTCCACCAATTATATATCTTAGTTATCCCAAACCCATCGCCAACAATTGGTATATCCCATGAAAATTCTGGGTTAACTTAGTTATCCAAATCCCCAATTATCTTTGCTAGTATAGCCCCTTTTTCAGAACCAATCAACAGCGGTATTCTTTATGGCTCAGTTGAACTAATGTGGAAAACCCACTGCCAAACCTTTGCGAGTGGTTTTTGTTCCACCCATTTGTGGTATGTTTTCAGAATGAAAAAGTTGAACTCATTCAAGATTCACCAGATACTAAAACAAAAAAATGCAAAAAATACATACAAGGTGGTGCCCCAGTTTGTAAGCCAAGTTGGTGAACATAACTCCAATGACTATGGCTTATGGTAGATACTTACTATGGTGTATAAACCAACTTATAACTGGGGGGCACCACCTTGTATATGAATCATATGTGAATAGATTGTATCTCATCAATATCCTACAACTACAATTTCGAGATAGTGTATACCACCCATTTGTGGTAATATTGGGGATGGCTTTGACTGCGTTAGCCACACTACCATGAAACTACCCTCCGCAAATGAAACATAACTAGCTGTGAAATCCACTATAAATGGAGGTCTTAATGGGAAATTAATCAAGCTAAATATAATACTAAGTGTGAGATGTTCAAGCCAACGATTCTTGATTCCTGGAGGGTAGCATGAGAACTTGGTAAAATGGATATGTCACCCATAATTGTCTTGCCTTGATGATTAGAGAACCTTAGACACCCGGCACTAAAAGGTTTACTTGTTTAGTGAGATCGACGTTGTGTTTGTCTATCTTGCCGGAAAAAATAAATAAATTTATCCCCACTGACACCGCTGGCAAGAAATGGCAGTGCAGAGGCAATCACTTCTGAACATCAATGCCAAGAGTGCTGCAACACCTGTTGAACGCAAAGTGAATGATTGCAAGCAAGGACACGCAACAATCTGTTTTGACCGATAGGCTCAACACGAGGCCTTTGGTTCAGGCCGTGGGTCTGGCATAGTTCGACTGTGAAAGATGGATGTGATTGTACGGATGGAGCGAATGCAACTGCCAATTGGGTGGTTCGAGGGCGGGGCAAGTTGCAAAGCTCCAAGAAAAGGAACATGAATTGAAACTGACATTGACAGAGTAAACATTGATTCCATTGAAACATGACACATTGAACTGTTCCGGTCTGACGACACCTGAAATTCACCTTGATCCAAGCCAGCTGTTTTGCATCCAAAACTGTCATTTGTGGATAAGTCACTTTCATGTCTGACCGTTTGATTATCCCCACTGACACCGCTGGCAAGAAATGGCAGTGCAGAGGCAATCACTTCTGAACATCAATGCCAAGAGTGCTGCAACACCTGTTGAACGCAAAGTGAATGATTGCAAGCAAGGACACGCAACAATCTGTTTTGACCGATGGGCTCAACACGAGGCCTTTGGTTCCCCCCACTGTTTCGAGAGTGCCAAGTGTTGCGCCCAACAGTCATCAACATCGATTATCTCACAAGCTGCTCCAAGTTGTTTCACACGCAATACATCAAGCCTCGAGGGACCATCTGAGAGATTAGAATCAGTCGGTACTCGTGCGTACCAAGGGCACATCTGGTTACAATATTCCAATGCCAATGTGGCGACAAGGATACCACGGGCAACTCTGTTTGAGGTGTTGCAGGAAATTAAAGCATCTCTCACTGCGTTGTTGTCTGTATAGATTACTGGGGAACCGCCAATCATGTTCCCCCACAGCAGCAGTGAGCAAAATAAGGCGAAAAATTCACACTCAAAAATTGCTGTTTTGCGGTCACCAGGGTTCAAGTTTTTCACCATAGTTTCACTCAGTTTTGCTGAAAAATACTTCAAGGGCTTGCCACATGGTGCAAAAACAACAGCACCTATACCTGCAAAGACAGCTCCGTCAACGTGATCGAAGCACGCATCAGTCTGTATAAACAAAACGTCACTTGTCGCAGGCTTCAACTCGCGTGGTCGACCATCCAAAAGAATCTGCATCTGCAAGGTCAAGGCCAAGGTGGTCCTATCGTCAATTTCATGAGTCCTGCTGTGATATGCGTGAGCTGTCACTGTTGAGAGGCAGGACTTGGCAATGCGTCCGAAAACATTACCTGATGCAAACTGCAGCCTCCCTCTCAGTTTGAGTGCTTCTGTCTTCTGCAGCTGTTTGGTTTTCAAGACCCCTTCCAGAAAAGTGATCAACTCACGCCGCCTGCTTTCAGTGTTACCCACCGTGACCAAGTTACCATGCAACTCTGAAACATTTACCGTCACTCCAAGAGCGTGGAAAACCTCTGAAAAATCTGGTGCTTTATCCCCTTGCTCTGCAAACGACCAACCCAGCAGTCGAAAAAACATTTGCACGCAGCTCTGAATGTGCGAGGACTCGACTTCAGGGGATATTGAGACAAAGTCGTCGAAGTAATTAGTTGTAAGCACCAAGAACTCCCTGACAAGGATGAACCATAAGCTGTGACTGATCCTCAAAAATGCGTGTACTGATTTCACAGCTCCAAACGGTAACGCAAGCATACGAAAAGCAAAAATTTCAGATGTCCCCGGCTTTTGAACCACGATGTGCGAGAACTTCCTTGATCCTGGGCTTATAGCACATTGGCGATATGCGCCAACAAGGTCAAATGTGCGCCCCACCCAGCGTCCATTGTAAGGGGCTTCGGTCATCACCTCAATGCACATGCCGGCAAAGACATCCAGTGTGTGTGGTTTCGGACTTTCGCATGACTGCACTGCACAGTTAACAGACGACCGTGAGAAGTCGTCGATACATCGAACTTTTGGCCCTTGTTGGAGCCCAAATCTCCTGCTGAGAGGAGTATCTTCAGGGATATCTTCTAGTGGAATCGGGCCAACCAACGCACCGGATGTAACCTCTTCCAAGGTCTTCGTCCAAACCTGCTCTGTCAGGTCGCTGTCACAACAGCCTTTAAACTGTTCATGGATGGCCCCTCGCTCCATGGTGGCAATGTTACAAAGTTCTTCAACTCCTATGACTGCCGGTTGGAATTTTGTAGGCCAGATACCTGTTTTCTCAACCGCGCCTACTAGTTCAGTCCCTTTCTTGAATTCTTCCACCACACCAAGATCCTCATAGCCGACAGCACGAAGCATTGCTTCCCAGAGCAGTATATTCTTCCTTCCAACAACTTTGACCACATCGGCGTCCATGTCTGCCTTGAGCTTTTCCTCGTCCGCTTTGAGAGAAACCATCTGTTTGAGCCAGAATCCCAGTCTTGCTGCTCTATGAGCCACCCTTTGCTGTACGTCCATGGTCTTGTATTTGTGGACGACTTTACTGAGAACTTTGGGGATTCCAGACTGCAGCTTTGAGGGATGTCCAAAAGCAACCATTTGTTGTATGAACTGCTCCTCCGTCCATGGTATACCCCAAAGCTGTGTCTGACAACTGCCAAGCTTCAAAGGTTCAGGTGTCTGGCATTTTTCAGTTATCAAATCAATCTCATGCTTCTCCAAGTGCTGGCCGGAAACAAAGACCCCCCGTTGAAGACACGTTGCAGGCAGCAGTGGTGGTGACACTTGTAAAAGCTTGGAACCTTTGGGTAGCTCCATAGGTGCATTGAAAGAAGGGACCTTTAAAGAGGCAGACAACTTTTGCTGGATGTCATACTGTGGCAAGTCGTCTTGAAATCCAGTGAGCGCCACTTTCGAAGCAAAAGTTGGGATTAAAGGCGGCAACTTTGAAGCCTTTGGTTGTTCCAGCCCAGCCTTTGCACGCAAGGCTGGCAGTGTTGCAAGGTCCACTTCAGTGACCTCTTCCAGCGTTTCTGGGGGCATTTTTATGCCCCTGCGTTGTAACGCAAGCACAAAAGCTGCCGCTATAGTCCGCGCCAATGTCATCGGATATGCAGCCTCTGACGCTGTGGCAAATTGTCGGTCCGGACCCGACAGGCCCCACTTCTCATGTTGGTGCTTTCCAGTGACACCTGTGCACATCTTGTTTATGGTGGCAAATTCTTCAGTGTTAAACGCAAGCAATGTACGCTTTGGTCTGGTGCCTCCATATCTGCATGACTGAAAAATTGTAAATTTTAGCAAATGCATCACCTCCTGCATAAATGTCGTCTGCCAGAAAAAACTGAATTGTGGGTTTTCTATACAAATCAAACATCCTTCATCCACAGCCCATCGCACCAAACGTGCTGTCAAATGATACAACCTGTTGGCCTTGGAGATCTTGACGCGATCAAAAAAGGAAATGCCAGGAATCCCGTTTGGGAATGCATTAGATCGCAACGGCTTTGGTGCCGGTGGATCACCAGGGCGCTTACGCTTCATGGGTATGGCCCTTGCCCTGCTTGCTGATCCGCAGGGTGGAGCCAGGAAAATCCCTATGACATTAGGGTTTGAAAGCCGCTGCATCAACAACTCGACACCAGCCTTCGTAGTAAGGTCTGCAATGACGACCTGAGCCATCGACTGTTTATGTCTAACGTGGTCTGTACCAAATGCACTAGCCATGCCAAACTGCTTCAAACAGGCGGTGACCCTGGCCGTCCCTGCAAAGATTTCTATGATGAGACAATCCTGCAAGGCCGCACCGGCGTCAGTCATAACACCGATGCGGTTCCGCCGTCACTTCTTCTTTGAGTCATGTTCTTTCTCTGGGTGCGGTGCGAAGCAATTCTTTCTACAACATAGGTGCCAGCCCCTTCCGCACTCACCGCCTTCTGGAGCATCTGCACACTTACCTGTCTGGTAGTTGAAGCACAAACGACGCCCATGTGTGTCCATGTTTGTGTTGTCTCGTCCAAGGAGAAACTTGGGCAAAATGCCCTTGCCGCCTTTAGCTTTTCCTTTGGACCCTGCTTGGTGACCTTTGCCCTTGTAAGGCTGTGCACGGTTGTGTTGCCAGCTTCCACCTTTTCCAAAGTGCTGGTGGCCGCCCTGACTGGGGCTGTCGGGGCGTGAAGACGCCTTCGGTAATGGCAGAAGATGAAATCCAACTTCATAAGACTGCAATGCCTGAAAAAGTTTCTGGTCAAGGTCAAGCGTGTTGTCAGGGAGTCTTTTCAACTGAGCACCAACTCGAATCAAATACATAAACACTTGGCGATCTGCCTTGAGAACCTGCTGAAGGGATGGACGGATGTAGTTCTGTGGTGGATCCATCCTCAAATGTGAAGTCAACTGTTGTAGGTATCGCTCATGACACTCCCAAGACAACATATCAGCAAAGGCCATCGCTATGCCCCTTCTACGGAGTGCTTCAAAGGCTTGAAGCTCTGAGCTATGAAATTGATCTGGAACATCTGCACGTTCTTTGACTATCAACTTCTCAGAGTCCAAGGATAGTTGCTTCTTGTTCTTTCCCATCGTTATCTCCCATTCTCTGGAGGTACACCTTTCAAGCTGTATGTAGTTGAGCTGGTTGGCCTCTTTCTGCTGCATCATCAGCTCAAGCAGCTCATGAGATGGCTCAAGCTGGCGTTCAAGCACCACGCCAACTAACTTCTGTCGAAGTTCCTCTAACCTGTGTTCCCGCTCCACTGCCGGTAATTTTCTGCTGGCAGCAGCGTTCGGGTCAGTTACAAGTTCACGCAACTGTCCTAAGACCATCGTGTGGCCTTCGAAAATGAGCCGCTTGAGCACGGCAGCATCAGCCTGACTCATCATCGCCCCCAAGGTGTTTCTCGCGTAGTTTTCAAATTCATTGTTGTCAAGGGGCTGGCCTGGTTGGCCTATTGAGAAAGCAAGCTTGCCCAGTGTGTCAAGGTTGTTCTGTGTGAGCTGGTGCAACGCCCTCTCAGACATGCCCATGTCAGTGCATCTTTTCACCAGGTGGGCTTTCGAATCCACTATTGATGTCATGGCTTCAGTCAGCTACACCGAAAAAGGAAAACAGAGTGACCTCTGATCAGATCTGCCGAGTTGAAACTTATAAACAAAACTTTACCTTCAGAACAAACTTTCAGGAGGATGAGGCTTTCATTAAGCCAGATGTAGAGATGAAGGTAATGGCACTGATCCACATTGCACATAAAACGTTCCTGACATGTTGCGGCTTCATGGGAACATCTCCCAACACCTATCTCTAAGGTCATTGCACATTCCAGCACATTGCTGCGGGGACCACACATTGTGGATGCGACTGGTGCACATTGCACAGCCAACTCAAATTACATCACACCACATTGGTGAAAAATCATGTGAATGAGAGAGACAACCGACCGCAAACAAACTCACACAACTGTTGGCATGACATCAAATGAAAAGAAGAATGGACATTGGTGCACATTGCACCTGACTCAGTGCGATCTGCTTCCAACTTTTTGGCTGGCACGCACGCAGTCAAGTGGTGAAAACAGTTCAGGGTCTCCATCTATGATGGTGCCCTTCTGCCTTTGTAGCAGACCCTGCACTTCGCCGTCCAATCAATGGGCCCTGTCAAAGCATGGTAGTTAGCAGTGAACACATGTCCACATTTTGTCAACTTCCCCTTCAGGAAGGCCAAGGGGTCGCTTTGAAACATCTCCCTGAAGCCATGTTCAACAATGACTTCGTGCACAATCTTTGTTTTGTTGTTCTTGATCATGATTCCGTCCACATCGCCAACTGCAACGGGTTCACGTGAGGCATCGTCCCCAGCTGGAGGATCTAGGTCAATTGGTTCATCTTCACCTGACGTCGAGCTGCATGTGTTGCTCTCTGAACTCTCACCTTCTGAGCTTGAGGTCAGTTCGATGACGCCGCAACCAGTGTTGCCAGGGCTCATAGCACTCCAGCTAGCTTCGGACTTCACTTCCACTGCGGTTGCTTCAGCGCCATGCTTACGCTCATCTGCAGCCTGCACAGCAACTGCAGGCGTCGCTTGTTCAAGGCCGGGCGTCCCCGGCTGTGCCCTCTCAAGGTAGGCCGGGGTGAATGGCTGCATCACAATGTGAGCCGGTGTCCCCGCTGATCTAGGTCCAACATGTGGGAAGTAATTGGCCCTGGTAGCATCTGGTTGAAAAGACCCATCACGGATCATACATATGACCTTCTGCAGGGAATTGACAGGACCTACGCTCAAGTCGCGACTGTAGTAGGAGTCTGACCCTTGGACGGAAGACGAGTGCCTCCCCAATATCCTCCTTTGCTCCCGAGGGACCTCAGCTTTTGCGGCCCAGCTCAGAGCCGTCGCTTTCAAGCTGTGGCTGCTCAGGAGCTGGTCATCTGTCTGTAAAAATCCCTTCAGAATGCCTGTCACCTCGCCAGCAGAGAGTGGTCTCCTCATCCAAGAGACATAGTCCCCGACCATTGGCGCCGGCATCAGAGCGCCTGAGATCAGCCCTGACGTTGGCAGGTCACAAGCCTTCCTGTTCGCAATCCATGAGTGGACCCATGGGAACTGCGCCACACCAGAGCAAGACATCAAAATTGGTAGAAGGACTGACTTTTGTTGAGCCGTCCTTGCAGATTTGTGACACCTTGTAGTCACTTCCAAGAATCCTGTCCCTCCAGACAAGTCATGCAGGACCTCATGAACATGGTTCAAATCTGAAACTCTGCACCTGCCATACATCGCAAGCAATAAATTTGAAGCAATGCACCTGTCCACCTTGGAGTAGGAGGCACTGTCTGCAATCCTGTGCAGAGCTTTGACCTCCTCCACTGTGAGAGGTCGTGCCTGTTTCATCGGCTCCCTCAAAGACACTTGGATCTGTGCTTGTCCTTTCACCCTGCGGGAATCTGCGCATGCCAACGCATTGTCAAATCCCAAAACATAGTGAGCAAAACGCAATGCTTGCACAAGCGACTGGGAACGCGACGCTGACGTGGTTGTTCCAGCATTTCCCATGACATATGTCCAGATGTCTCGCTCATCAAAAGGAAGCATTGGAGCCGTACCATAAACCGCATGCCATCTGTAATACAACATCATTGCATTTGCTCTCTTCATGATGGTGTTGGGTGACTTGACGCCCATGGCTGAGTTCAGAACCAGATCAACATGTTCCTCTGATGCATCGTCCAGCTGACGTCCGACTTCAGAAGCAGTCACGTCAACTAACACAAGAAACCTCCATTTGCTGAGTGCATTGTTCAGGGTCTTTGTACGCTGTTGCAAGTAGGTTTCATCTGTTTTGTGTTCTGACATAGCTGAGAGCCTGCCACCTTGAGTCTGAGGGCACCGCTGGTTGTGAGGGCCCCGCAGTTGCTGACTCCAACACAGGCAGGCCCCTATTGCCCCAGTCTAACGGCATCGACAGTCTCATGGTGGGATGCAAATCACCAAAAATCTGACTCATAAGAGGAGTTTCCCAAGGCATTGTAATAGCTGAGAACTTGGCACCACGGATGAAGGTGTCGGTGATTGCAGCATTGTCATCCTGTTTAGAACTCAGACCTCCCTGATCAATACCAGGCAGCACTCCAAATGAAGACTGCGCAACTGATGGTTCATAATCAGAATTTTGTTCATTGCCGCTCAGCTGAGGGTCAACACCAAGGCCCGGGCCGAAAAGACTGTCAAGTTGCGTCACTGCAGGCTCCAGTGTGCTTGCAGGATCGGAATTCAACACACAAGAGTCCACATGGTCAATAGTAAGGACATCGTCATCAAAGCTGTCATGTTGTCCTGAATCCATAGCTAAGTGCTCTGACGCATCATGCAGTTTCCTCCATTTCTTTCTATATCCATGCAACATGCCTACAGTAACGTCCTCATCCATGGCTCAAAAAAAAAACCGGGCAAGTTGCAAAGCTCCAAGAAAAGGAACATGAATTGAAACTGACATTGACAGAGTAAACATTGATTCCATTGAAACATGACACATTGAACTGTTCCGGTCTGACGACACCTGAAATTCACCTTGATCCAAGCCAGCTGTTTTGCATCCAAAACTGTCATTTGTGGATAAGTCACTTTCATGTCTGACCGTTTGAAAATAATCAACCTGAACCTTACCTTCGTCATGCTGAATTAGATGGCGTGGGGGCCTTTGGAATTTTAGGCAAGAAAAACATGCAGCAGCAGCTAAAAACCAGCACGCAGGTGCTAGATATCCAAGAAGCATTGATACTCGTCAAAGAAATGGGGAGTCATTCTTCACTCATCAAAAGCATCCATGCCACGGTTGACAGTTGACGGTTGATGTTCCAAAAGCCACTGGAAGATATCTGTTGGGTTGATGTCCTGCCAGTTGATATAGTAGGAAGGCTCATCAAATGGAGCTTGAAAATCGGTGTACCTGTATGCAGAGTGTATACAGACATATTTTACAGCACCTATATTCATACACCTATAAATACAATACTTATATATACATATTTGATATATGTACACAACCTACAGTATTGAGGATGCTTCATATCTTTGTCAAGCATTCCAACAGAAATGTAGCATCCCCCAGCACGAGATTCACAACTGACCTATGCCAATGTCTCTTGGTCAAGTCCCTATATTTATCTCTTCGTTAAATCCCAATGGATTTCAACGACATCCACATTTTCATGGATGCTCCCAAGACCCTGTAATGTAAGCATCCATTGAACTGTGATGTAAAATGACCCATCTACCCTCTGGTAATTTAACATAGCTATTGAAAATGGCCATTTATAGTGAGTTTTCCCATGAAAAATTGTGATTTTCCATAGTTATGTTAGTTTACCAGAGGGTATTCCCCCCAAAGGCACTCCTTTTTTTGGCCCAAAAGTCTCAGCCTCCGTGAAAAATCCCACAAAGTTACCCCATGGCTTACCCCCAACCCCCCAACCTCCTCGCGTTCCATTTGCTCCAGCGCCTGGCCATGTTACAAAAAAAAGTGGTAGATTTTTTACCATGAAAAATTGGAGCGAACTAAACCAATACCAATCTATTGGTTTTAAGCAACGAAATCTGGGGATCGAATCTAAACAAGAATATGGAGATATTTACCAACAGAAAATATGAGATAAATGTGTATAAATCATTGATGGATTGGAGCATTTAATAAGATCATGGGTGCGGGTCAAAACCCTCATTCACTAGTGACCGTGCCAAGTTCTTCTGGGATGAATTTTGACCCATACAGGATGGTGCCCCCCAGTGATGTGAATGTTGGTGGAAAAAAAAACGATGAAAACTAGTTCGTTATATCTGCCATAAACGATAGAATTCAGCCACATTTCTGAGGCAACTCAGCTATCTTGGACGCCCCATCCTGTAGGCAAATTACAAACATGTGGAGTATGGAGCGTATGGAATTTAGATGATGGATTGGTGGATCCAAGGTTGTGTCTGAGACTTTCTTTGCGCACATAATTCAATCAAAATTCCATGGGGTGGTGCAGAAACTGCTGTGATTTCGAAAAGGTCGTAATATATATATATATACATATATATATATATTTACATATATACATATATACATATATATACATATACATATATATACATATATACATATATACATATATATATATACATATATACATACATACATACTGTGAATCGGAGGTTATCTCCCCGATTATGTGTTCTTGGATGATCTAGAAGTGAACGTTCTCACCAACGACGACACGGGAATTGCAGTTTCGGCATGGCAGTGTTTTCTCCTGGAACTTGCAGTAATCTTGAGCCAAAGGAGCATTAGATGCAACCTTCTGGCCCCGGAACATTAAGGGATATATACAGGGGAACATGTGAGGTACTGTAGTTTAGTCCCCATTCGCACCCCCCACGCATGACCAACTTTGTTGGTCACGCGCAAAGGAGTGGCCCTTAAATCATTCCGCTTCGTCTGCATTTGTTCATCAATTGAATTACGGAGAGCTAAAGTCCGTTCAGAACTTCAAATCTACATGGCGGCTTGCTACGATCTCTACCAAAATAAAGATTCTGTTCACGTGCATGCTGACACGACGTAGTCGGTGTACAGCATTGAGGTTCATCCGATGTGGTGTAGCCAGCATGGAATCCCACTCAAGCATGCGAATTAAAAAAATCCAACTACAAACATGACTATGGAACTAGAAGTTTACCTTCCCGTTCCTTCGTCGGTTGAGATGTAGACCGCTGTAGAAACTCAGCGTCTCGTACAATGATATTCAAAAAAATGTGGTTCTAAATTAGCCGGCTCAGGGTCCTCTCAGAAATCATTCGAAATGAAGTAGAGGTAAATCTCGAGCAATGATTGCTGCCTCGCTTCGCCAGGTTCAATCAGGACCTATGCAGAGGTCATATCGATTTATCATCTATATCCCCATCCATAGTATCCATGTTGGTTCCAGTCGCCACCGCGGTGTGAATAAGATCTTCCACCTTTTCCTTGGTCTTTTCCACCTTTCTGTGGCGGGGTTACTGGAGCTTGTTTTGGCGGAGGAGCAGTTTCGACGGTTCTCCATGTTGCTGATGATGATGCTTTCGCTTTTGACACTCTGCCCAGTGCTGGTGCTGCCTTCGGGGCTGCTTTCGATTTGCCAGCGGCCGGGTTAGCACGTCCACGATCGGTAGGAACCGGGGTATCAGCAATCGCAAGTAAGTGGGCTTCTGTCATGTGGATGCCCCATCTTGGTCGTTGATCATCCCGCTGCTTGATGTGGTTGTAGTCGTTGATTGCATCATACAGCCTTTGGAGTAGAGGTCGTGGCAATTGTCGGCCATTTTGAAGGATCAGATGCAAAACTGAAATTCTTCGAAGTGGAGGTCGAAGAGCACACACAATGTCAACTGGGTTCAGTGTGATCGTGTCTTGAAAGTCGACGTTCCTGAAGAAATAAACAGCATTCACTCTGTATGCACCTGCAATGATTCTTCTGACCAGGACATCTTGTCGGTCAAGGGCTTCGCGAGCGGCTGTGGTCTTTCTCATCTCGTCCCTTGTTGAGTCATGCTTCGACAGTTTCTCCATCTCTTCATCGAAGAAGATATTTTGCAAGTCTTCATATGTGTAGCCGCATTCAAGGGTATATACGAGGAGTCGTTTGAGTACCACCGCCCCATAGTATGCATTGACGAATCCCTCTTCCCCGATGTCGTCCTTTTGTTGTGGTCGGCCGATTTCTTGGTAGAGCTCTTTCATCTGTTGTGCATTTGGTTCGATGAGTTCACCATTTTCATCCTCACCTAGGTATGGCACTCTTGAATCCAAGTCCATCCTGAATTTTCGGTTCTGTTGAAAGTGTTTCCATGCCGTCTCGATGTCTCCACAGAAGTTCCGTTGGAATAGTCTGTAGATCCTGACGATATGCAACCCAATCTGTAACAGGAGGATTTTGATGAGCTCCGGTTGAGCATCTCCAATCGTACAAGGCTCGATTGGTAGGACCTTTGATCCAAACTCAATCCTCTTCATCCACTTGGGGTACTCAATCACTGCATCATGAGCTTCTCCAGCCTCGTACTCCTCGATGTTGATTTCATCGACCTCTATTTCTTCATCGTCGTTCTCATCAGTTTGTTTTCCTTCCTCATTGAGAAATTTATCGACCTCATCTTGCTCTCTGAAGTCTCTTCTCTCATCATTGATGTCGCCCTTCTTCGAAGCTTGATCATTATTTTCTTCTTCTGGTTGAGGTTCTTGTTCTGGACTCTTCATGGTGACGTCATCATCATCTTGCATCATCTCGTCGTCATCATCTTCACCTGTCAAATCGACCTTCACTTCTTCCCATGCTTTCTTGACATGGTCTTTGAGATCTTCTTCTCGAGGACGTGATTCGGCACTTGGTACAGTAGCCACGGTGATCTTGATTCGCTTCCTCCATCCGTGACTTACCAAAAATCCTTTGCACATCACACAAATCGATAATGGTGCAGGGGTCTCCATCAGACATGCGGGGCATAGTCGATGGTCCTCCTTGCTAGGATGATGAGTGACTGCTAATAACGATATTGCATCATTCCAATCCGGATGTCCAGGGAACAATCTGTGAGCATGACTGAAGTGACCGGTCTTGATATCGACAAGCTTTCGAAGTTCGTTCAGATCGGGTGATGATTCATCAGGCACAATGTTCCCAATGAGTTTATCAAATCGTTCAATGGTGGCCACCCTCCTTGCTCCTTGCACAGAGAGTACAAGTTGATCTTTTCCCTTTGTGATCATGAGACGGTAGTAGTCCTTTTCCTTCCAATCATAGTACCAAACTGCATCGAATGATTCGAATGGAATTGTTTCTTGGACCAAAATGTGTCCGTCTGCTGACAATCGAGGGGAGAACTTGGCGATGGAATCGTACGTAATGTAGATGTAGACAAGATCAGTTTGTTCAATCTTTCTGAACCTCAGCACCGTCTGACTTCGCACGTCCCACGGTGCGAATGGCACGAAGAACGTATTGATGCGGTCGCCTCCTCCTCCGGGACGTAGTCCTTCTCTGAAGATTTGAGCGATGTTGTCAAAAGTGGTGCAGTGAAATCCTCCTCCAAGAGTGTATCCGACTCCAGGGTTCATCTGATAGGAAGTCTTCTTGTCTTCGATGTGCACACCGCCTTGAACTCTTGAATGTGCCATAGGGGCTCGGATTGCCACCGGCCATAGCCAAATCTCTCGATCTGCTGTGCCGATCTCCAACCTCAGTGTGTGTCGTTCAAGTCTCGAGGTCAATCCATCATTGAAGTTGTTCATGACGTATTCCAATTCACCTTTTGTGACTTTGAGTCCTAGCACTTGAGCTCGGATTCTTTTCGTTTGCTTGTATTCAGTGAAGATCACTCTCTGGAAATTGTTCCACCTTTCAACAAGTATTG